CACACACACACACACACACACACACACACACACACGTTACCTTTCTTAGTCAAATTGTAGGGAGGAGTAAGGTATAACTGCTTAGGCACAAATGGTTTTGTTTTTTCCCCCTTATATCTTGGGAATGGATTCTTTAACATTGGCTTTACAACTAGTTTAAGGTATTTTCTTTTGACACACTGTAAGCGAGGATACAATATTTATTAGAATTGCCATTAATTTATAAAATATTTGTACTGCTGAATATATACTCTGGGTGCAATAAATGGACTTTTTTGCTATCACTGTTTTTAAACAGGAAATTTGTGTCAGAGATGCTGAAGTTGTCTTGTGCGGAGGAACTGAAAGTATGAGTCAGGCTCCCTTCTGTGTCAGGAACGTACGCTTTGGAACTAGGTTTGGATTTGATATCAAGGTTGGTACCATTAAAATTTTTTAAACATTATTTCTTATGCTATTATATGAGTGATTTTTAAGACAACTTTTTAATGAAGAGAAACCAATTTTGTTTAGCGAATACTGGCAAAAGATGTGACAATTTAAAATCTGTAAATTATTTCAGAACTCTGTTTTGGTTATTGACTTCGACATTTGAACACCATAGAATTAGACTGAAGAAGTAGAAGTAGGCAGAGGCATAAGAAATGTAGAGGAAGAAATGTTGATTAAAAAGGGAAAGAACACCGGGTGTGGCAGTGCACACCTATAATCCTAGCACTTGGGAGGCTGAGGTAGGAAGATCACTGAGAGTTCAAGGTCAGGCCAGCTACATAGTGAGTTCCAGATTAGACTGAACTGCACAGGAAGACCTTGTCTCTCAAAACAAAACAAAAACAACAAAAACAAACCCAAAATAGACAAAGGGTAAGTTAATCTGTACTCAACAGCTAGGATTCTGAGTAAATCTATAGTATGGTTTACAGAAACCATTCTTCTGGGACAGTCTCCATTGAATAGTTTTCTTCTTTATCAGAGGAAACACTGTCTTGAAATACAGATTAGATTGTCCTTAAACCAGTCAGACACAAAGTGATCCTTCTGTCTTTGAGAGCTATGACCTGAGAATGAGCATACTGATAAAAAACGTATTTCTTCCCATGATGGCATGTTGTGATTTAACATCTTGTAGTAATGGTTGACTTCACTTTTCACTCAGTTTCTCACTGGCTCTTTTGGAACCTGGCAGGAATGAGACTTAGAAAATAGGAGTATTTCAGCAATATTTTATATACTAAGTAGAATTAAGAAATCCTGCACAAGAACAGGTCAGTGGCTCTAAAGGTGATGAGACAGCATATGGGACGTACTTAGTAGAGACTCTAACTACTTAGGTAATAGTTAGCAATCTTTCTGTTACATAGGGACCCCTATCCCAGGTTCTTTTCTGCCTGGAAGTAACTGGTAGGACCAGCTATACTTGTAACGGAAAACCTTAGATGACAAAGGAGCACAGATCCTTTCTTTCATACAAACTCACAACTACTGTACAGAGATAGCTACAGGAAAGCATTTCATAAGAACTCAGTGTCAGGTTTCTTACAAAATGTAATCTTGAGGGTTTAATTTTTGATTGTGGGAATAATTTCCTATATTCTTACTGCTTGTGCTTACCTTTTGGCTCTCATTAGAGGTCCATATTCAGAGACAGAATATGTATATTTTGATACATTTGAGTTTTTAAATAGATTTTTAAATCTAAGAACTAAATATGAATAATAATAGCAAATGTTATCAAAAAGTCTCATTTTACTGTGTTTGTTGGAATTGTTCCTTGTTTAAAGAAATTATAACATTTTAATTTCAAAAGATAATGCTTTAACAAATCACTTTTACTGATGTCTTTTTAGCTGGAAGATTCTTTGTGGGAAGGATTAACAGATCCACATGTTAAACTTGCCATGGCACTTACTGCAGAGAATCTTGCAGTACAACATAAAATAAGCAGAGAAGATTGTGACAGATACGCCCTTCAGTCACAGCAGAGATGGAAAGCTGGTCAGTGAAATTAGATGACTATCAGTATCTGCACACACACGCATTCACACACACACAAATAGGAAAGATTTTCACCCTCTAAAATTATAATGAATTCGAGATATGGTGCATATACCTAGAATCTTAACTCTCTGGGAGCCTGATGGAGAAGGATCACAAATTCAAGCCCGGCCTAGGCAACTTACTTAAGATTCTATCTAAAAATAAGGAAGGGCTGGCGATGTAGCTCAGTGCAAAGGCCCTGGGTTCAGTTCCCATAGCATATATAGACAGACAGACAGACACACACACACACACACACACACACACACACACACACGATTATAATGACGTATAATAATAGTTTAACTCATACCTTTCAAAAATCACATTTGTATATTATTCTTTTGTTTTTAGGTGATCAGATATTCTAATATTGCAAAGTTAACTGGCAATTTCTCTTTTAAAAGAAGTTAATCCTGCTTGAAAAGTGGTATTGTTCCTTGGCCCTGGGTGGACACTTGACTTCAGTCCTGAACTGGTTCTCTTGTCAATAGACATGCTGAGGCCACTCCATCAGACGTGACTGCTTACTGTCACAACTGGCACAGAGGATGTCCTTTCCCGGGAGCCATCATGTAATCACAGGGAGGGGTGAGGTGCTTGGAAAAGACCATAGGTGTCCTTCTATGCCTTCTCCCATTGTTGATTGAGAGTCACTATGCCTGACTCAGGCTTGACTGGTCCAAAACCTTGGCAGCAGTGCCCATGAGTCCAAAATCAACAACATGATGGTAGTCGACTGATCAGTATAACAAGATGAAAAAATTTTTCGTCTTCTGAAGAGGTTTTTTAAAGTTGTGATAAGCAAATGGAAACTCTTAGTTAGGGTATTAAATACTTGAAGTAATGAAGTTGCAGTCCATCTTACGTTTCAGAGGGAAAGTGAACTGGAGCTGATGCCATTCAGCTCATCTGTATTCTGTAGTATTTTTTTTTCCTACTTGAACAGTATTGATCTAGAGATTGGGAGTTACCAGCTGTGTTTTTAATTCTACCAACTACAGGTTTCTGACCGATCATTTATTCACTGAATGTCTGTAAAGTAGAGATAACAGTGTTTGCTTTGCCCATCTACCTAATAAAGTTGTTCTAAAACCAAATAAGGGCATATAAGATAACTATTTTGCCTACTGTAAAATGGTATCAAAATTAAGGTTGTATTATTTCCGACTTTATTTTTTTTTTCGGACTTTATTTTTGAAAGTGTAGATTAGTATAGTCCATTCTAGTGGAGGTTCAGAGTAGATGTTCTATGTGTGTACTTGTATTGGCGATAGCTCCTATAATTTTGCAAGTTGTATATTACTGTTAAATTTCAATTATAGATTACTTGGTGGCATATGCAACTTCGTAACTTTTTAATTAAATTCTTATCTCACCTGAAGGAAAATTAAATCTATTTAGTGCCGCTGTATCTGTAGCTAATAGACTGATACTGCTAACAGTCAAGTGGTGCCTGATTTAAAAAAAAAGTGTTACAAAATAAAAAAATAATTTTTAAAAGGTACAAAATGCATCTGATAAATACATGACAGTATGTTAAATCCTCCAGTAGGGAAGGCAGTTGTGTAAGTGGTAAAAGCTCACGTGAGCAGAGGGTAGACCAGAAATTAAATTGAAGCTTATATTGATTACTTTCTTATTTCTCTTCTCTTTTGGTTTTCATTCTTATGATAGACGTTCTTCTATTTCAGCTAATGATGCTGGCTACTTTAATGATGAAATGGCGCCAATTGAGGTGAAGACAAAGAAAGGAAAACAGACAATGCAAGTGGATGAGCATGCTCGGCCCCAAACAACACTGGAGCAGTTACAGAAACTTCCTCCAGTGTTCAAGAAGGAAGGGACAGTTACTGCGGGGAATGCATCGGTTGGTGTCACCCCAGATCACCTCGAACTCTTCCTGCTGTGTTCCATGCAAAATGAACTTGGGGTCTCTGTTAAGATACTTTCATGCCAATCTTTATTTAGTTTAAACCGGAGCATTCTTACTCAGTTAATTTGGGCTTAATAGTCCAACACAAAATATTTTATTTAGGGGCCCTGATAATCTTCTAATTCTTAGTCATTTCAAGATATTAGAAGGAAATCTTCCAGGTTTATTATTTTATTTTTCAGGTTTTTTCTTTCGTGTGTATGTACTTCATCAGATTTCATTTTATATCTACCTGTATCTATAAGCTTTACTGTGATATCCTTCCATATCCTTTAGTGAAGTTGTGTTCTGAGCTTAAAGTAATCCCCACAATCAGTGCTACAATTTGTATCCAAAATTGTGCCAGTACTTCCTGTGTACCATGCTATTCCTGATTCTACTCCATGCCAGGCACAGGAGCACATGCCTGTAATTCCAGCTACTCAGGAGGCTGAGGCAGTAGAATTGCAAGTGTGATCCCCACCTGGGCACTTTAGTGATACCCTGTCTCAAAACAAAAAGGACTGGGGATGTAGTTCAGTGGTAGAGTACTTGCTTACCATGTGTGAGGCCCTAGGTTCAATCTCCAGTACTGACAAAGAAAAAATAAATATTACATTCAAACTTTAACTGGATTCTTTTACCAGTTCATATGTCTACTGTGTTTGTTTTCAAGGGCGTATCTGATGGTGCTGGAGCTGTTATCTTAGCTAGTGAAGATGCTGTTAAAAAACATAACTTCACACCACTGGCAAGAATCGTGGGCTACTTTGTGTCTGGATGTGATCCATCTATTATGGGTATTGGTAAGTTTATGATGAAATGAACTGATTCTGTGTATTGAGATGACATTTATTATTTTGAGATCCAGAGCAGTGGTTTCCATCATAGATAATATCCGAAAGCCACCCATAACCCCACCTCACTAAGATTTTGTTCTAACATATCTATAATGAAACCCAGAAATTCAGTTTTCTTCAGAGTACCTACATGCTTTGATGGTCCACTGCATTTATCTGATGTAGATAAGAAGTTACTTTATAGTTGTTTTTCACTTTAACCTCACTTAGTGGGTTCTGATAGGTTAGCATTAGCTGGTGAGCAAAGAAAATATGTTTTTCTTCCATTTTTCCCCATGCCTGGATATCTGCCCTAAAATACAATGAATGCCACTGTGGAAGGATTGTCTTTCTTCCTCAGGGTTTGAGCAGAGGTACACATGCTAAGTATATCAATGTCAGATGCCTTCTTTATGTAGAAGCTTGTCTGTCACTGGTAGCGTGGGGTAGGTAAACAAGCAGGGAGAATAGGTTATTAAACATCTAGTGGGAACTGATTGGAAATCCAGTTTGTAAGAGCAGTAGTGCTTGGTTCTGCAGACACCTACCATATCTGTGGCCCTCAAAATAGCTTCAAACCCAGGAATGAGAAGCACAGACTTGAAGAGAACAACAGTGGCTCGGAGGAAGCACACAGTTCCAGAAAGACCCTGTTGCCTGGAACACTGCGGGGATAGCAGGGGTGACAGTGGGTGGCTGGAACTTTAAACCTCTGATCTTGAGCTGCTCTAGCTTTATCCTTTCAGGGCTTCATCCATAGAAAGAATTTCAGTACTTAAAAAGACAAAGGTTAACCGCCAATTCAAAGCATCTTTTAATTGAACTTTGAAGCCCAAAGAAGTGCCCAGAGTTGCACCTGTTAATGGCAGGAGCTAGGACTAGAAATGAGGTCTATCTTTTGTTTTGTTTTTTTTTGTTTGTTTGTTTGTTTTTTTCGGTTTTTCTCTGGTACCGGGAACCGAACTCACGACCTTGCGCTTGCCAGGCAGGCGCTTTTGCCACTGAGCTAAATCCCCAGCCCCATGAGGTCTATCTTTAAGAATAGGAAACTTCCCTGAGTCCCAGTAAGTAGACTGGTCTAAAAAGGGTTAAGTTATGGCCCAGCGTACTGTTCTGTTTTACGGTAGTGACGGTGAGTGAACATGAGCTGATTGATTGAGGCTTATTGATGTTTCTGAAGACAGAACTGTGAATACAGTAACTTAGTACTGTAGTAGTGTACTACTTTTTCTTCTGTATTAAAAGATACATAGAAAAAAAAGAAAGAAGGAAAAAGATAAATAGAAAGAAAAGTACTAAGTACTTTTAAAAGTATTTTAGAAGTACGTAGTACTGACAGTACTGAGCTACACAGCAAGACCGTGTCTCAAAAAAGAAAAAACCAAACTGAAGGATACATCATCTTTTATTGTTTTATTTCTTGAGACAGGAAGAAATATGGACTATGCAGTCCAAGCTGGTCTTGAACTCACTATATAGCCCAGGCTGGCCTTGGACTCAAGGAGATCCTCCTGCCTCACCCTCCCAAGTGTTGGCATTACAGGCATGTACCACTACACTTGGCCTCCTTTTCTTTTTATATGATCTCAGGTATTTTCATTATGGAAAGGTGACTCACAATCCTCTGACCATGCTGGTTATCTGATGCTTTACTTTTTACTACTCATCCTGTTTTTATGTTTGGATATGTATGCAGAGAGAATCTGGAATTAGATTCCATATTAAATTAGTGGCCACATAGAACTGCTGCTTTAAATCAAAATGCATTAAATGGATGGTCCTACTCAATAAGCAAACATGTCCAAAGATCACTGTAACATTCTATTTATATTGAATTGTATTTTTCTTACAAAGATTCATTTTGCATCTTACCTTAGGTATATTGGTGAAGCTTGTTACATAAATTTGACTACTTGCATTCAACAAAATATATCATGTTTTTTCTCTGTAGACATTTATGGCAGTTTCATGCTCTACAAATAAATAGAGAAGATAATCTTCTTTAGTGAGACTTTTTTACCTTTTGGAAAAAAACTACTGATTTATTTAAAAATTAGGAGTGTAGGGACTTGTTGGTCTCTTGGTGTCCCCCTGGGAGGAACCGTAGCAGGAATGAGGAAAAGATAGACAAGAGACAAAAGCTGGGTCAGGTGGAGGCCTCTTTCCCTGATGGGTAAGAGGACCTGAACAACAACAGTAGGGGCGTTTATTTATGCTCTTGCAAGGTTAGTATCACAGGCAAGGTTGCTTAGCAACTATGACAGAATTGTCCAGGCGGGATGCTTTTCTCAAGACTGAGGCAGCTTGACTGCTTGAGGCACTCTGGCTCTGTCCTGCCCTCACACGTATGACCAATTTCCAGCTTCAGCCACTGCCAACGTAGGAGCAATATTAAACTTTTACTGGTAATTATCAGGAATGTGGAAGTTAAAGTTTACGTCAAAAGTCTTATCAGGCTTGGGCTGGGGATTTAGCTCAGCGGCAAAAGCGCCTGCCTGGCAAGCGCAAGGTCATGAGTTCGGTTCCCGGTACCGGAGAAAAACAAAAAGTCTTATCAGGCAGCTTTGTGTTGCTTGACTCCTATCGTGTTCTCTTTAAATCCTCTGTCTACCGTTTGGTTAGGACTGTTTCCTTACTTCACCTCTCTTCCCCTGAAGTGCCCTGGAGCCCCTGTGTGCTATGCTGCTGTGGAGATGCTGCTGCTGTTTTTTGCCTTCTTTCCAGATGGGTCTCTGAAAATTCTATCCCATGAATGCAGGGACAGCACTCAGTGTGCCCAGCTGTTTGCGATCAAGCACGACCTATAGCTGACTGTAAACCCCGCCAGTGACTTCTTGGGATGATTGAAATCCTAAAGCCATGTGTGGCAGATCTTTCCATAGGAGTCTCTCGCCTATGATTTGACTGCAGAGTCAAACAGCCTTTCATCATGGTCCCGTTTTCTGTTTCTTCTTTCTCACATTATTTAACACGTGCTGACAAGGCAGCAAGACTTGTGGCTGCTGATAACTCTGCCACACTATTTCTCCCTTACGTATTAAGTGAACAAGTTGGACACATAAATAAATAAGACAGTGTTTATTTCTATAAGAGAATCTCATTCTTACGTAGGTCCTGTTCCTGCCATCAGCGGGGCACTAAAGAAAACAGGGCTGAGTCTCAAGGACATGGACCTGGTAGAGGTGAGTGTTCTGACTTTACAACACGCGTGAACTGCCTACTTCTGTAGCATCAATGGCTTTAGCTTAGTATTCTGTAACTCTTTGAGTTGGTACTGTTAGCCTTTTCAAATGATGTATATATACATAAATATTATATGCTTTGCGCTCGTACTTTTCTGCACCCAATTAAAATGCTTTACTTATATTTGAATAACTTAAACAACTTGATTTCTCCTGCAAAAGTATAAACTCTTAGGAACTTCCTGGGACTTTGGAGAATTCCATTACATTTTAGACTATTGATATGCATGTTGAATTGAGTATTACAGAAGGTGGGAGAAGAATAAGTAACCATAATCCCATTTTAAATGAAAAAAATGTAGACAAAAGAATTGACCTAGTGCCAAATCAAGTTTTTCGCCCTTTCCCCCAAACTGAGGCTTCATCAATCCTATCTTTGGCTTTTACACCATAAATGATAGAAAATGCTAGAAATTTAAATTTATTGGCTGAGTGTATGTTTGTGTGTGTGTATGTGTAGTCCTGAGGATAGACTCATGCACATACTCTACTGCTGAGCTACACTTCCTGCCACAAGAATGATTACTTAAATTATTAATATTAGAACAAAGATGTCTTAAGCATTTACTGTAATTAAAAGAAGAGACAAAGGAGAAAATAATGGATTATATACATTTTACTTTGGAGAAGTATCTGAACATTTCAGGTAATTAAACTGTGCTACTTAGCATCAAGAAATAACTAATATGACAAAAGATCTATCTAAATAATAGAGAAAAGGTAAGTATGTGTGGTTTCCTCTAATAATCTCTCACCCAGGAAACCAAGGTTTTAGATTAATAGTGCTTTATCTGTAAATCTTCATTCTTGGTATCTTAGAGTTCACAAACTCAAGAGCGCTGCTTAATTATCATACTGTGCAGTGGTTCCTTGGTTCACGAACTTAATTCTTTCCACAATTCTGGTCACAAAACCAAACTGGACAAGAATCTAATCAAATTTCCCCATAAGGTCAGCATTCAACTTAACCATTGAAAAGCTGTTCATTATCATTTCTAGATGTATAGACACTCAAAGACAGCATAGTTCTCCTGGTTCAGAAACTTATTCTTCATAACATATTCTAGGTCTCTTAGTACAGTATCTCTTTGAATATGATGATCTAAAACAAATAAATAATGTTGGCTGTAAGGACAAATAATTTGGGGAACATACAAAAATATAGTAGGAAAGAGAACAAGAGTGAAGCTTAGCCCAACTCTGTAAATGTTGTCTTCCTCAGAATTAGTTTCTTTATAAAATTCCTGAAGTAAGACAGTATGAAAATATAGTACTATTGATGAAGCAAGGCAGTTCTCATAGCCAGCCTTGGTAAGTATTAATATAACAATATGACACTTTTCCTTTCTGCCTCATTTGAATATAGTAACCATTCTGTTTATGTCTCAAGCTCTGAAGGTTTATTCTTTGTTGACTGTCAGTTTCCTCTTGGAAAGATAGCTCTTGGTTCTAGGTAATAATATTTAGTTAGTTAGTTTTAGTTTTTTGAGTCAGGATCTCGCTATGTAGTTCAGACTGGCTTTGAACTCACTATATAGTCCAGGCTGGACTCAAACTCAAAGCAGTCCTCCTGCTTCAACCTCCTGAGTGCTAGGATTACAGGGATGCGCCACCATCACCAGCTTGTACTGGGTAATAGTAGTAACATCCCGTTGTTGAGGACCTGATATCCATCAGGTAATATACTAGACACTATCCATGATTGTATTTCACTTTAACAATGACTCTCAGCATGATACTACAGTTGGATTTTACAGTTGAGAAAATGTGTGTATAAAGAAAGCTTTAGGTCACACATAAGTAAATGATTCAGCCAAGATTTGTACCATCTATCAAGCTCCAGAACCTATGGACTTTCTATGTTATCTCCCTGCCTTTAATGTGTGTCCATTTATAAGATTACTGATGATTCCTTTACAGAATGTATTTGATGCCAAATATCATTTATTAAATATACTTGCTTTTAAACTTGACATCTTTTGTAAAGGAAGATCGTTCTAGATAACCTTGAACATGATTATTTTGACAATTATTAAATCAATCTCTCTCTTTCTCTCTCTTTCCCTTCCTCCTTCCCTCCCTCTTTGGAAAAACCTGATATTTACACCATGATTAAAGATAAGGTCAAATAACATTATGAGGTAATTTAAATAGGAAAACATAGCACAATTCGCCGTCAATAGGACTGGACCATTTGGTTAAAAGTTTGTGAATAAAGACTCTTACCACTGCAACCTTTTTCCCTAAGGTGAATGAAGCTTTTGCTCCCCAGTACTTGGCTGTTGAGAAGAGTTTGAATCTTGACCCAAGTAAGACCAATGTGAACGGAGGAGCCATTGCTTTGGGTCACCCATTGGCCGGATCTGGAACACGAATTACCGCACACCTGGTTCATGAATTAAGGTACTTGCATTTCAGATGTGCTGTTTTTAATACAAACACATGAATTCCAATTTTCTTAAAACAGTCCACCCTTTGGCCCCTTTTCCCTCAGTCCCCTGTACTGATTCTGACCAGCTATTTGGGCAGCTCTGCAGCATGCCTTGCAGATGAACCAGTCAACCTGTGACCTGCCCTCCACTGGGAATCGAGCTATGCTCTGTGAGAGGTGCAGCCGCCTGGAACTCATGACCAGCAATGATCACATGATGAGGCCCTCCCTCTCATGGCACTTCGCCCTGTAGTGCCTGTTGTAGTAGGGTGAATTTATGTAGAAAAACAAATGAAAATACCATGTAGCTGCTGATCTAGAGTTCTTCATTTAAGGAACCTAAGCAAACTGGCAGTTTGGGTCTTAAGATTTTTTCCTTCGCTGTGTCCATGAGGGAGCCTTCTGCATGTTCTAGTTTTGATAGAAGAGCTCCTCCTTCTGGCCTTGTATATTTTAGGTCATTTTCTCTACTAGCAGGAAAATTGCAAACAATACCAAGTATGTGAGGCCGAAAAGCCCTCCAACTCCCTGTTAGGCTAAAGAAGACGGGACTCATTTCACTTACTGATTGAGTGGGTTGAAATGAGTGGCTGACATGTACACAAATACTTCCTAGGTGATGCTGTCAGCATCGCCATGTCAGGACTAAAGAATGGGAGCAGATCTTTCTCTGTGAGTTTAATTTTTGTGAAATGGACATGAAAGCTTTCCGAACTATCCACTGTCATATGGATAAACCTGATTAAGTATTTTTATTCTAAAGTGCCATAAGAATCTAAAACCATGTAAGTCAAAGAAGCTGAATGATCCTTTCTCCTTTTGCAAATTCCCTTATGTATCTACATTATCTCCTGTTTTCACTCTTTTTCCACAGCACAGCACACATAAGCCTGTATATTTATTTCAGTTCTTCTAGCTCTAAACCTACCCATCCTCTTCGTAGATTGCCTTCTTCTTCTGTGTTATTTTTTGGATTCCTTTTTTTTGGATGAAAATATGTAGCTATTATGACCATATACCAAAATTGAGGATGATGGGAAAGACTGAGAAGCTGAGCTGAATAAGAATGAATAATGCAAATGTCTGATATTAATTCGATTTAATTAATTAATCTAATTATCAGAGCAGATTTCAGCCACTGCTTGCTTTCTTAGGCGTCGAAGTGGAAAATACGCTGTTGGTTCAGCTTGCATCGGAGGCGGCCAAGGCATTGCAGTCATCATTCAGAATGTGGCCTGAGAGAACCAAGGAGCCACTGTGTGCCTCTCTTACTTCTCATGGCTGGCTCTGGTAAAACAGGTGACCTTCGTGGCAGCTGCCGCACTACCCTGCTTACCCCTGAAATAGCGATTGAGTTTGAGCCGGGATTGATGAGGGGAAAACGCACTTATCATGAGTGACATCCTGTGCCAGAGAAAGGTCTCTCACGTTTCCGTCTAAATGTGAGTGTAACGTGCTGTGTTTCTGAATGAAAATCCAACTGTAAAAGACCTCACGAGAAATGAGAAACGATCCTACCAAATAAAAACCACTAATGCCTTAGATGATATGATTATAAGGAAAGTAAATAAAGATTGCCTTAATTTTAGCTATTCCTTTCCCATTGGTATATTTTTGAAAATTTTTTGAATTATGATAAAGTACACTTTGTAAAATTAGTCATTTTTAAGTGTAGAGTTCAGTGGCATTAAATGCATTCACACAAATATTACCACCGTCTGTCCCCAGAACTCTTTTGTCTCATGGAACTGAAACTCACTGAACAATAATGCCCCATCCTGTACTCTTCACAGCTCCTGCCATCACCATACTGCCTCTGGTCTCTATGCTTTTCACTGCTCTAGGTGTCTCATGTAAGTGGAATTCATTTTTATCTGGTTGTGCCTAGTTTATTTCACTTACCGTAATGTCCTCAAAGTTCATCCATGTCATAGCATATGTCAGAGTAACGTTTTAAAGTCTGAATACTATTCCTTCGTATGTCTGGTTTTGTCACCCATTGATGGATATTTAGGTTACTTCTGCCTTTTGAGCTTATGCCCAAGGAGCAGAATTACTCAACTTAGTCTTGATATTAATAAGCGATGTCATATTAGATTGTTTTTCCTTGAAAAAGGACAGTGCTGATTATGTATCTCAACTCTTTAAGTACATTTGAATGGGAATGTAGGCTTCTATAGGAAGATTTATGTTCATTTTTTTAACTGTAGCAGTTTCACATTTATTAAAAGATAGGAAGAAAACAGAAGGGTAAGAGAAAAAGGGGCTCTGAAGAGCAACTTTGGGCCAAGTAAAATGGGAGAAAGAAATAAAAATAAAAATACACCCTACAGCCTAGGGTGGGCTATCGTGAAGAGGCACGATAACCTTATGTTCATTTTAGAGGCCATATTTTTAAATAGAAAATGTGGGACTTATTGAAGGCTAGCAGTTCATGTCTCAGGAAAAAGAACGTGACACCCCTGCTCTCCCACCACGAGTGCTTGCCAGCACGCCGGCAGGAATGTTGCCATTAATGTCTGCCACATGGTCAACTAACTGGGGAAATCTGGGGTGGTAGAGGTAGCTATGACAGATCACTGAGCCTGCACTAAAATGTAGGGAAGCTTTGTGGAATGCCACTGGGACCACAAATGGAGACTGCAGTTTTGCCTGGATTGCATCCCCTTTGTCACCTTCCCTGCCCATTCAAATTATATCCTATTCTCACTCTGTTTCTGTAGCTCACCTCTACTCCAGGGGTTCTCATCAAGGGCAGTTTTATCCCCAGGGACATTTTGCAATATCTGAAAAATATATTTGTCAACATGACTGAGGAGAGCTTGCTGCTGGCAGGTAGTGGCTAAGAGACTGGGGATGCTGCTGTACGTCCTGCAATGCACAGGACAGTCACCACACCATAGAACCATCTGGCCCAAATGGCAAGGATGCTGCTGTTGAAATACCCTCCTCTAGCTTCCCACATGTCTCCTTCCCCTTCTGTGTGTGCATAGTGTGTATGTACAGGGGGTTGAAGCCAGGGCCTTCACACTGAGCTACGTCCCAATCCCTTTTTATTCTTGACTTTGAGAAAGGGTCTCACTAAGTTGCTCAGGCTGAGTTAAACTTGCAGTTCTCCAGCCTCGGTCTTCCAGAATGCTGGGATTGCAGGTGCATCCCACTAAGGAGAGCTACACCCATTTTAATATAAAAATGTACAGCTTTCTAAAATCTTTCTCTTGTAATAACTATAAGCCAATATTGAGCAATGAGGGAGAATTGGGAAGGTAAAGTAAATGAAAACAAATAATGGAAATGTGGCTGTTCTTAATTCTTCAGAGTACACAATAAGGTCCTTGCAAACACAGGAGCACCCGCATGAGAGGTCTTTCTCCAAACCTGACTCTGTGTGTGTCAGGTCTGACGGTGGCCTGTGGCCTTGACCCAGTGCTGCTTGCAGAGTGGCCTTCCCTGTCCCTCTTAGGAACCTCGTGCTATTTTGAGAGTCATGTTAATCAGTCATACCACCACCACTAGCCTTATTTCCGTCTCTGGCCTCCCGCTCATGTCTTTTCCTCCAGTGACTGTATTATCCCTGCCTCTGTCTCCTTTTTTTTTTCTTTTTTCTGTCACCTTTTTTATTTTAACCACTAAATCATATTTTAGTTCTCAGAAAATCTAGCATCCAGCCGGCCAAGGAATTCTCAGTTCTATGACCAAAACATCAGTCACTTTTTGTTTATTTCATGGCAGCCACCCACTTCTCTTGTTACCTCTTCCTTTTGTATATCTCATGAAGACATCTAGCCATTGACTCTGTTAGCTTCTCACAAACTGTTCTTCCTTTCTTTCCAGATTAGAGTCCATGTTTCATCCTTTTTTTTTTTCCCCCTTGAAAATACACTTTCATTGATTTATTCTATCCTGAGACTGGATGTCTGATAGAACATTGACTATGGGTTGTTCTATGTAAGGTCACAAAAGATTCATTGGAAATTTTAATTGATATTAAATTGAATTTACATTTTATGGACTTACTAAGGAATACTGATACTTTATGATACTCAGTCTTTTTATCTACAAATCTATCCATCTGTAATATACTCAGATTTTTTTACTTCTTTATTTTAGGAAGTTCCTGATAAATGAGCTGGAGGGGCGGGTGTAGTGGCGCACACCTATAATCCTAGCACTTGAAAGGCTGGGGCAGGAGGATTGTTGCAAGTTCGAGACTAGCCTGGGCTACAAAGTGAGCTCAAGGCCAGCCTAAACTGCATAGTGAGACCCTGTCTCAAAAACACATACACACACAAAAAAGATCAGGAGGACTTTTCCCTGACGAGCCCTAATTTATTAATTTGGTTCCTGCTAAGTCAGGAAACAAAGGATTTAGAATTTTTGGAGGCTGAAATAAATCAAAAATTTTTCAGCAAGTTCTAGTTTTTTCTACGCTAGAAATGTTAAATAATACTCACTATCAGTGTCAGTACCTGCCTTGGTTCCTCAATCCTTTGCTCATGTGTTCTCTTTCTCTTGGCTAAAAAGTTGGCATAAAGTTGGCCGTGGCTTAAGACCAGCCTGGGCAACTTTGTGAGACTCTCAAAAACAAAATAGTAGAAAGAAAAAAGTTATCCCTCTTCCTGATCACAGAAGAGGCTGATGGCAAGAGGTCTCTCCACGTTGGGCTTCCAGAGGGAGCAGGTCTGACCCCTTGTTTGTCACAGGATAGTGGATGACTGGAAATGTGGAAATGTGGCTCTTCTTTTCTGGGGTCATTAGTAAAAGGCAGGTTTCCCCCAGTCTCAAAGAATATTACAGAGTATGAGATCTACGTAATTTCCCATAAAAAGTCAGTAATTTGCAGAACATTTTATACTTTATAGATTTCCTTCTTTTGCTATGGCTTGTGACAGACTATCTCTTGGCAGTGAAATGACCAAGGCCATTTGTTACCACTCACTAGAAACACTAGTGATAACTTATCTAGCCCATGGCTTCTCAGCTGAAGGAGGAATTGTCATCAAGAAAATAGTTAAAGCCAGCCCCATCCCGGGGCATCTCCTTGTACAGGCCTTGATAAATGTGTATCACTTTTCCCCATAAAGGCCTCATGTAGCTCGGCTATTCCAATGAGATCTTTTTTCTTTTTTATTCGGTTGTTATTAATGAATAGTTTTTAGATGTTATGTGTCTAGCCAGCTAACTGAAGCCTTGTATTCTAATTATGCAGACAGCATCTCATTTATTTGTACTCCCTTTTTGCTCTGGGATGGAAGCTTTAGTGCGGTATTGGGGAAATCATGTGAATGCTCAGATTAGCTCATCAGTGAGGGCTCGGTTCACCATAGGTTTCAGATAGATGCACTTGATCAAAGTAAGGAAGTGTCCTTCTTTCCCTGGTTTTACTAAGAACTTTTATGAGTGGTTCATTCATTGTTGAAATCACGGTAATCTAGCTTTGCTGCCACTACCTCGTCCATGTCACTGATCACCTTTCTGGTGTTAAAGCTGGCTGACGCTCTTCTGTCTTCATCGTATTTGACTTCTTCAAGGCATATGACACAGTTGCTCGCTCCTACCCCTTGATTGGATTTTTCATGGCTCCTCTGGTTTTCCTCACGGCTCCAGCACTCCTTTTGGTCTTCTTTAGCAGCTGCTCCTCTCTGAACTTCTGCTGAGTGTGTCTCAGGGTTGATCCTTAGGTTTATCCTGCTCCCATAACTCCAAATATCTCTCTGGCTGCGGACCTCTTGACCTTCCTCACAGGCATCTGCATCTTAAGCACACCCCAAACAATAACTACCAACAATCCCCACTAAACCAGCTTCTCAAAGTTCTCTTCTCCATTCCAGTGGTTTAAGTCAGAAGTTGAGCATTTCCCTTGATCTTCCCACTCCCTCACCTATCAGCAAGTTTCATCAAGCTTTCTTCCAGGATATATCTCGAATCCGTCCATCACTCTTCATGTCTCCACTATGGTCCAGGCCACAAGAACCTTTTGCCTAGACTCAAGAGTCTTCAAAGGCTGCCACCTTCATTCTTGAACCTCTTTGGTGATTTCCAAGACACCACTAGGGAGATCATTTAAAAACATACGTGCCAGGAGTGGTGGCACGTGCGACACTCGGGAGGCTGAGGCAGGAGGATTCCCATATGTTCAAGGCCAGCCTGGATTCATAGTAAGACCCTCAAAATAACAAACCAAAAAATCCATTAGGTCATACCCCTGCTTAAAACCCTGAGGCAGCTTTGTCACATAATAAAATCTGGACTCTTCCCTACAGTGGCCTGCATATTGCAACTGTTGATCCCTGAAGCCGTCCTGCCCCTGGTAACACATCACTCCTCTAGCAACCCGTGTTTAGACACACTGGCTTTCTGTGGGTTGCACATGCACCGTGCTTTCGTGCTCTAGAGCTTCAGCAGTTTTCTTTGTTTTACTTGGAACACTATTTCCTTTGCCCTGCCAGACCAGGATCCTGCTTACCCTTCATGTTCCCTGGGTCCTGTTACCCCAGCTTCTTCTCCCTAGGACTGCATTGCAGCAGCCTGGCCTTTGGGACTTTGGGGCTTCATATTCACTTAGTAGTACCGTGGCTGCCTGCTGTGTGCTCCACTGGGGACCAACACTTCATGTGCCTGGCACCATACCTGGCATGTGGTCAGTGGCACAGTAATTCTGAGATGTTTAGTGGATGAGTGGATGGATGGATGATGCTTGAAGACATTATAGCATAAAGAAGATTTCTGAAAATCCTACAGAAGTAAAGAGCTGCTGTGATGTGATTTAGCATCTTCTGCTCTCCACAAATGACCACAGAAATGTGTATTTTTGTGTTCAGGTGTCTGTTCATTTCTTGTGTGTTTTTTTTTTTTGTTTTGGTGTCGGCAATCGAACTCAGGACCTTGCACTTGCCAGGCAGGCAGGCGCTTGTGCCACTGAGCTATATCCCCAGCCGGCTTGTCTGTTTTCAAGAGAGAAAGGGCGGAG